AGTGAAAAAAAAATTACCACTGAAGAATTTGAAAATGCCGTGTTTTTTTTGTGAATAACTTCGTGTCACATATTGACCAATCAGAATTAAGGATTAGCGGTCAGGCAGTTTCGAGATATTTCGATATAAAACAACTTCGTTTCTTTCATCTTTAGTGAAATATGATTTTCAATTCAGTAGCGAAGCGGTAAACCGGGTTAAGTCGATTTTTACTATTGGCTAGTTTTTGACGAATATCTCGGAATCTAAAAGAGATAGAAAGATTTTTGTCAAGACCTTTTTTGTAGAGCCAATAGAGCGTTATAAAAAAAGTCATGAGAAAAATTTTGCTATCTCTCTTAGATTCCGAGATATTCAGCAAAAACTGGCTAATAGTCAAAATCGACTTATCTCGGTTTACCGCTTCACTACTGTATTGAACATTCCAATAGAATCGCCCAAAAACTAATTGGAAGTTCAATAGAAATCCAATAGAATTGTCTAGTGAATTCGATGGGTTATTCTATTGAATTTTTCTCGTTCGTTTGTTGATGCAGATTATCAGGATAGCAGATTAATCCTATTAATCTTGGGGTAATCCACAGTAAGACCGTGGCTCAACTGTTGTTCCATAAATTAGCGCCAGAAAGTCAGTAAGCCCGAGAGAATGAAGAAAAATCTATCGAGGGGGAACGATTGAACGACGCCTTCCCTGAGCATAGTTCGGAAATTTTTCTATCGAACTTTTGTCCATTTTTGGATTTCTATTCTATTGAACTTTTTCGTCGAGTCAGCTAATGACCGCAAGAAGACCTAAAAATTGATGAAAAATTCTGTCCAACATCTTCGCAACATTGAACTTCTATTGAAAATTCTTCTACTTTTTGGCAAATTCTGTTGCATCTTTACTTTGCGTTTTTTTTCATAGAAAATGTCAGGTAGAAACTATTTTATTTAGCCCAGTGAGTTCTTCAAAGAAGTCAGCACGAAGATTGAAAACGATTATTAGACGAGAGCTGTTG